GAACCTCTCTGATATTGTTTTTTAAATATAATTCTCAGTAATTTGCTAATTTGATTTCATCCTCTTCATCTGCAATCAGGGTCCAAATCTCTTTCAGAAAAGCAAAACTGCATATTTATGCCTAATTTATTTAACAGGTCAAAATGCATTTTATACCTGTAAAATTATCTTATAATCTGTGGTTGTGGAATCGCCATACATCCAAACAAATTGGACCTGTCTGACAACATGAAGTAGGTAAAAAAAAAAAAAAACAACCTCAAAAACAACATATTTGATCTACATACATTAAAAAAAAAAAAACAGATGAAAAACAATATTACTAGTAACTATCAGACTGGAAACAGTTACAAAATGATTTCTAAGTCTTTTAGACAGACATTATCCACAAATGAATTGTAACCAGAAAACTTTAAGACTAGGAGCCGGGACACTTGTTCAACAATAGAACAAGTGTTCAAGATTCAATATTGAAAACTTTTGTAGTTACTCGGTCATCTTATTCTAAACTTTGTTTGATCTGAAACATTAAATGTGCTAAAAAAAAACAACAAAAAACAACATGGCAAACACAAATCAGACATCTATCATTTTTCACAACACCATACAGCATGTAGTTGCGACAGTGTAACACACAGTCGCAACTACACTTTTGTCCAGTCGTGCTGTAAAAAATATTCATGTGGGTCAATCACTAAAAAATAAACTACTTTGTGAGGCCCTTTCGGCCTAATAACATTTACATTTTTTGAGCTGAAAGTTCAACACTCTTTACACAGTCAATAAAAATCCCCCCCCAAGTGATCAAACAAGTACCAGGTAAATTTATTAGACGACTGTGAGCCAGTCCAAACATTTTGCTAGCCAGGTTGAGGGAATGAATCTTTGTCGGTGCAGGTCGCTTGTCTGCATAGTGTAGCATCTGATTAAATAACACTAAAGGGAGTGTGGGGGGTTCAGACATTTGGATGACAATTACTCAAATGTCATAGTACTGGAGCCCGTGTGTGACGTGTATGGCATCTAAAAGTTTGATATGACAGCACAACTGCATTGGATATCAAATCTTATATGCAGCAGCGTTGGAATAGAAAATTGGGATATTTCATACTTAAAGCTTTATACACAATAGAAACACAAGGCAGGTATGTACTGAAAAATTCTTTAGATTAAGCAGTGAAGTTGCACAGAAAGAGGACTTATGGAAAACACATCCGGGAGTAAAAGGAGGAACCCTTGCTGCATCCCATTGTGTTAAAAGTTTCCTCCAACTATTTCTTTCAGCTCATCACAAATATTAAAAAAAGAAGAAAAAAAAAGCAAATGTATAAACTTTTCAGAAGTTATGTATATTAAATATACACTTTTAAATCACATCCACCTAAACAATTACAATAAATGACGTAACATTCCAAAGTTGGATACCCAGGCATCACCAGTAAGTCGGTGCAACATGCTGCGCCCCCTTAATGGTAAGGATACACCCCCAGGGCTTCAAGTGATTCAGTTTTTAAAACCGGGCACCAACTTCTAAAAAGAGTCAAAATCGCTATGACCAAACTTAGACAGAGAGATGTCCATGTAGATGTAACAATGCCTTTAATATGAGATTACTCGAATACGGCGAGGAACTGAGAGTAGTGCTGTGCAAGTATTGTGGCTGCTCTCTATTAACTGTGAAAGATATCAAAAAAAAGAAATGCATCAATTTCACAGACTGCATAAATCCAAGTAGATGCGCTGTTTCATTGACTCAAAGACCTTTTGTATTTTCATGCAGTTTCGGAAGCAGAACTTCCCCCATTTAATACACGCACGGTTTAAAACAGACATAAATGTACGAGCGCTTTCCACACGGAGCAGGCCTCTCCTGTCCTTTCCCACCTGCGGACACACGCTTCCTCCTGCCTGCGCGGACGTTCGCCGCAGACAGAGGCCCGTCTCCGTCGTCCCGGTTCGGAATATGGCAGCGGAGGAGTGCAGCGCAGTACAGCTGAGGGGTGTTTATTTTATTGAATGTTTATTTCACTCTGTAAAACATGCCACTCAGGGACGTTACGGAGCGATGCACTCAGCCCCCCCTTCTCTTCGCTCCCTCTGCCAGTGTAAACAGTGTGTGTGCTGAGAGTGTTTCCTTCGCTAGTCTGTGTAGATGTGTAATCCATCCAGTCAGACATGGTAAACAACATCTCTGCGTGTTTATAAATACTGCCCAACCACTCTAATGAATTTATGGTAATGCCTTGTTCTGCTGCTGCCGTATGCGTCGACTCCGCGCGTGTGTGTGGAAGGTGTGAGTGAGTACCGCACACTCTTCTCTCTGCTTTCTGATGTTTCTGGGGCTGGGGGCGGAGGAGGGGAGGGAGGGGGGGCTGTTTTGTGGTGCAGAGCTTGGTTAAAAGCTTAAAACGTGTGACAGCATCAAGAAATGTGGGACTGTTGTGAACCAATGAGCCACAGTAAGAAGTCCATTAGCAACCAGCTCTGGCTTGTACCATTTAGTGAGCTGTATCTCACCACAGCAAGCGCTGATCTTTTAATAATGAAGCGTAGGACTTCGGTCTCCAGCAGAAGTTTGTTCCCGTCTTTCAGACGTCGATGTTTCTTTGTGCACTTTTCGGCGACCTCTTTCAACATTAAAAAATGTGCGTGCATTGTTAAACTTGCCATTAACTTGTCAGAGTCTTATTGCACTGTGTTACCCGATTGTACAGGACTTAGGACTAACATTAGAAATTAATTCAAGTGAAGTTTATTTGTGTAGCATATTTCAGCAACAAAGCAGTTAAAGTGCTTCACACCATAACCAATTATAACAGCTACAACATTACTTTTTAGGTCTTTAGCCATGATTTCAGCTGAAATCTTTAGCCATGTTTTCTGTTTTCTGGAAGTTTGCTCCAGAGTTTTGCTCCTTGTTTGGTTCTGCTTCTGGGTTGCAGAGCAGACCAGAACCAGAACCAGAAAACCTGAGTGATCTGGAAGGTTGACTTGAGAAGCCGCTGCATGACTTGCGTAATTAAACATGACTCATTTTTTCTCTTGCTTTGGCATAAGAATTTTTTTTTTTTTGTCAAAACACGAATCTCTTTAAAAGTAATGCAATTGGGCACTAATTGCAAAGCTAAGACATTTCAACATATTGTTATATGGAGCGGGCTTTGGCAACCCAAAATTTCACAATGCAACACTGACTAAAAGACAAATTTGCAATTGTAACCTGGATTCGTACTAAACAACCATGACATCATCATTAATCAGACAATTAGACCTTTTAAAGTGCTTTTCAAGTAATTAAGTTAAACACAACATATCCTACAGAAGTTAAAAAGAAAGGGTAAAGTATACAAATAATCATATTGAACTCTAAAGTAATTTAAGAAATTATTAGTAGCAAACATAGCATAAAAAAATGCAACCCCCAGTGAAAACTACCAGCGTTATAGACAAACATTTTAATCTACTTTTCTGAAACATTAAACGTACTTTAATAACATGACATAGACAGTAAATAGAAAAAATGTTAGATTTTGTTGATAAAATAGTGACAACAAAACGATTAACATGGTATTTAATATATATGGTAGATCAAATTGAGAATAAACCAGAACTAAACACCGTGAATAGAAACTTCACTTAAAAAAACTACTAAACAGATATGCAAAAAAAAAAAAAAAATTAGATAAATATTAAAACTTAAGAATGACTAAATTACTGAAATTCAAGTTTCATTTGAAATTTTACATGGAATCAATCAACTCATTAGGAGGAAAAACTTGATTTGGAGCTTTTTAATGGAAGGTCCTTAAAACTTTACATTCTGGCGTTTGCGACGTTGGGCAGCAAACTGACCGCTAATCCCACTGGTGTGCAAGTAAACAAGTATTTGGTGTCTCTTTAGTGCGTTACGCGTGCATTATTGACTTGATTATCTCGTGAGGCCGTACGAACACACACACGTTCGAACGTGTGAGGGTGTCTGTGTAGATCCGTTGTTCAGACTAAGCCATCACGGCTCCCCTCTCATCAGGCCTGACAGGTGTTATTACATTGAAATGAGAGCAGTGATGTATGCATCTATAATGTGGACCTGTCCTCTTCTGCTTGATGGAACCTGACGCTTCTCATTATTGTGACATGTTTGAGGAAAGAACAAAGTAGCAACACTTTGCCTGGAGTGTGGCGCGCGCGGGGGCGCGCGGCGTTGCCAGGCCTCGTAAGCACATCTCACGAGGACGTTGACGGAAAGTGGTACATCACGTTTTTTGAAATGCTTTCAGAGGGCTAACAAATCTAATGTCAGTTTCACTTAGCGCAGATGAAGAAAGTTGCCGTCGCACTTTAGGTCGAGAATGTTACTTTCCAGCAGAGAGAGGACGACAGACACGATGGGTTTTATTTTTATTTGCAAAACAGTTAAGGTAAAATATATAAAAAGAGGTTAATGTGCCGGCTAATGCTATTGATTGGGTTTAAATATTTAATATGCGAGGACTTTCTCTTGAACAACCTTCACTTATGAGTTACAACGTCAAAAGGAGAGTTTGTGCAATTATGTGGCAATCTAATGCTTTTGAAAGGGAGTCAGTTTGGGAGTCCATTGAAGCCAGAGATGTGGCACTTTTTTAAAGGACATCTGTTTCACATCAGGCTCCTGTTGACTATGTAAATTTTATTCAGCAGCTAATGGACAACACAACCTGATCTGCCACTAAAGTATTCCAGCAGCCTTGACTCACACGTCTCTGCTCGCTGCACAGCATTTTCACAGAAAATGTTTTATTCGGCTCCTGCCTCGGTTTATTCAGTTTCCAATCCTCACTTGACTTGTTTATTATTTGATGAAGAAGTTTTTTTTTTTATATGATACTTTCCCCTCTTAGGACTGGAGCGATTGTTGTGCCACATGGATTAAAGAAAGGGTAATTGTTCTTAATGTGCTGCAAGAGCGAGTATTACTGATACGCTAGAGTGATTAAACACAATGAGTAGCAATAAAATGGGGATAAGTGCATTGTTTATTGTTTGAAAAGGCAGTAAAAAGGGGGAACACAAAATAAATGGCAGTGGTATTTTTGCATCTAGTCTAGATTATATTTGCTTGAAAACAAACAAAAAAAAACTGTCTTGTAATTGCTTTTAGCTGAAGTTACCATAAGATTTTTGGATCCAACTTGCAGCTTCTCATATTATGAAACAGTTCTGAGAAATAAAATGTAAAACTAACTATTTATCACAGTAATATCTACACAGCTGCACATTATAAGGTTTATTCTTTCAGTGTTAAAATGCCCAGCAGATGTCAAGACTTTTCTAAGCACATGGAAGAGAAACCTGGCAAATTGCTGTGCTCTTGTTTTCCATAAAAACCGGCTGATTGCGGCCTTATAGTTCAATTCAATCCAGCTTATTTGTATCGCACCGACTCAACGCGTCGTGTTTACAGTAAAAAGTCATTTCAGTCCAATTATACATACGCTCTAATTCATCCCAGTTATCAAACAATGCAGTCAGGTTCAGTTCAGTATTCAGACTGGTTTATAAAGTTTCCTATCAAAGGAAACCCAGCAGATTGCGTCGAGTCACCGGTAATGTTCAGTCCTCCTGGAGGAGCACATAGACAATCGCTTCTATTGTGTCATTGACTTTACAGCAATCCCTTACACTGAGCAAGCATGCAGCGACCGCATTCAGTCACTACATGCTGGGATGTTCACACCCCCCATAAAAACATAATCAGATTAACCTTGAAAAAGTTTCAATGTCCCAACAGGAATCTTCTGCCACTTGCAAATTTGCTGTGTCGAGTTTCCAGCAGGCATTTTTCAGGTGCAACGTCACAGATGATTAAAAAAAAATAAGATAAAATGGTTTAAATCTATATCTATTTGACATTTTCTATGCTCTTAAATCAGCCTAGAGCACAGTAATTGTGCAGTTGACAGTTTTAAGTGAAAATACAGGGATGGGGTGACTGGGACATCACTGAGTTAATTAAAATAATTAAACTTGACTAATTAGGTCTGAAACATAAAATCCTACCTGATTCCACTTGCAGCAGCGCTCCTAATCCTTTTACCGAAGCTGACGCTTCCTCTCTGGCGGCTCATCACTGCTTTGTCCTGTGAGTTTCTGTAGAGAAACCGAAAGGAGACAACACTTTATTTTTTTATTTATTTTTTTGTGATCGTTTTTGGTTTATCTTCCTCATCCACAATCACCTTTCATTCGTTGGTAACTGATGGAAAAAGGACCTTCGATCTCCAACCTCACTTTGGATCCATGTTTCGACAGGCGAAACTTTTTCACAATGTAGCCGCAAGCTCTGAAAGGGCTTCACGTGAACGTGTTTCAAAACAGACAATAGCTGAAGACAACAAAAAAAAAAAAAAAAAAAAAAACAATGCAACGAAAAGCAGTTATTATTTTTGCGCGTTTGACGAGAATCAACGCAAACCGAACTAGTGTCTGATGGTTAAAAACTGATTACAAGGTCAACCCCAAGTCTACGAGTGAGTAAAGTATACACGTTTTGTTGCCCATCGCTCCTTTATCAGCGGACGTGAAAGGCTCTATTGACTCGGCTAGGCTCACGCGGCGCGCAGACAAGCAGGCAATCCCTGCTCCCTGAGTTGGGACAAAGGTGAACAAACTGATTTGTTGCAGTCGCTAAAATAATAGAGCAATTTCTTTCTTTTAATGCTCACGTTGTACTTTTGACTCGTGCGCACGCACACACACACATTCAGGTGGCCAGGTCTGCTGAGAACAGGCTGTTCACTCAAATCGTCCTCAAACAATGAAGTGCCGAACAGATCACATCAATCTCTCTCAAGAGAAATATTACTTTCCTCCCCCTCCGCCTCTTCTCTCCTCCCGGTCCTCCCCATCTCAACACATGCTGGAAAGGAGAGGCAGCCAGTGAGTGTGGAAACGTGTGGAAGTGTGGAAAAGAGACAAATGTTTGGTTTGTCCTAAATTTGCGTCAGGTCCCCCCCACAAGTCACTCACCTGTAGTTTAAACAGACGGCGAATTTCCTGCCGAAGCATCAAGCGACCTCTGACTGGGAAGTTGGTGTGCGTCACTTTTGCTGTTGTTTCTGTGCCTCAAAGAGACTTGAATCAGTTTTTTTTTTTTTAAATGGCACTTTAATTTAATTTGCAGTAATTTCTAGCGCTATGCATGTTTCATAGTATTAATAATGTTGACGTTTAGCACACTGAATGCCAGTTGCGAAAGTAGCATGAAAAGTTTGCTTTGAAAATCTAAGAAAAAGAAGAGAAGAAAGACTAACTGATAAGAGCAGCTTAATATTTGAAGACGCCACTATATTTCACTTTTTGCAAAGCGCTGCCCTCCCCTTCCAAGTTTTAAGAAAGTCATTGTATTTGGTTCATCCACCCACCCACTAATCTCTGTATATTAGCTCTCAGGAAGGGAAAAGTCTCTCCATGAGCTCTGGTGTTTTAATATCTGTCATCTTCATCCTGTGCTCCATTCCTCTGCTTCCTCTTCTTTTTTTTGGGCTTTCTGTTTCCTCTTGTCGTCATATTTCACTCCTTTGTTTGACTGCTCCGTCCTCATCTCCGCTTGCTCTATCAGTCCTCGTCAACGAGGAGCGCTGGACAGCACTGTGTGTGTGTGTGCGCGCGCGCGTGTATGTTTGCGTGTGTGTAGTTTCGATGCTGGTGATGAGGGCGACACCATTTAGAGTTTTGTCTCAGCGTTTCTTCATTTAGCCCCTCGCTTTTTGTCAGAGCTGCCCAGGTTTCTTGACGTTCCATGTAAACACACTGATTAGAGCTCGAGCTGTGGGAACTTGGTATGTGTGTGTGTGTGTGGGTATTTTTCTTTGCGGCGTTTCGCTCTAGCATGTGAAAGTGCAATATCTAAAGCACACCTGTGTTTGAGTTTTTGTTCTCTGGCAGGAGCCTTCAGCGGCCTATCACTTCCAATGCATTTGGTCTCCAACACAAAGACACACCCGTTTCAACTTAATCCCTCGTATCGGTTAATCACACTTTGGTTTTCATCACTGTCGAGGCTTACCTGACAGCATCACCTTAGTGGATAAAGTGGCTCTCAAATGTGACCACACCGCTTTTATATTATATTATGCCAACACAACACGAAAAACATGTTAAAAATGAAAGTCATATTTCTCTAACCTGCCACTTCTTCTATCGTTGCATTCTAATACAACATATTTATCTCCCTGCTTTTTATTTAGATATTTTGCAAATGTTGTATGATTTTATATAACTATTTAATTTTGGGGATTCAAGCACGCCCTGATAAAAAAAAAAAGTTAGTTTGAAATTTGCATTTTGTTTTCATGGTGACAGTCATGAGATCCACAGATGCTGTGAAAGATCCTATATAATATGCTTTTCTGTTATTTGGTGTTGTGCCGGAGAATTTATGACGGATATTTTAAAAAGGAAAATGAAAATACATATATTATTTCATTTTATGACATCTTTTGAATTTAGAGTTTTATGTTGATGTAACTTTTTAGATTTAATAACTAATATTAGTTGATAAAAAAAATCATAATTTTGTGCTGGGTTAATTATGGTTCACTGACTTAAAGTGAGAAAAGAAATCTGGGATAATGAGTGCCTCAGAGTGACCGCGCCTTAAAATCAAACTCATTTTACAAGCGCAATTTGACTGGTTTCCCACACCTCTAGAGGCAATCTATGCAAATGAAAAGACAGAAAGATAAATAAATAAGTACCTCCTCTAAATGTGAAATTGCATCAACCAAAAGCATTACTTCCTAGAAGAGTGAGTGCTTTTAGGGATTTCTTTTGTCTTTTTTTTTTTTTCCCGCCTCAAGTTAAAAAGACACGGACAAGGTATTTATGTACACACATATGTACGCGCACGCATACACTAAAACACAAAATGCTCAGGTTGGCCGGGGGCAACGTAACAATGCAAAATGGAAAAAAAAAAAAAAAAAAAAAACATGAGCTTCTGTGTTGAGCGTGACAAAAGATGTCTGTAAATGAATAGAGTAAACCACAGCAAATGAAGAGATGCATCAAGGTGGAGGAGGCTGACTGATAGATGAATGGAAGCAAAAAGGGTAAAACAGGGAGAGGCTGATTTGCGTAATGCCATCGTGGAAATTGACTTTTAACTGAAATATTCAATTTTCATACTCCTGCAGGTGAGAGAGCACAAGAGCCCGGGCTTTTTTGTTTAATAAAAATAACAAAATAATGTACTTGACACATCAAAGCAAATAGAAAAATGAGAACGGCCGAGCTTTTGGAGAGCAGAGACACAACTTGGCTGCACGCAAACAAGGTGTCTTCGCCGACAAGGCTGGGAGAATTAGCTTCCACCTTGGCCTGGCAGGATTTACAACAGCAGGAACGCTCTAAATATGAATAGTGGAGCCCAGATGGGGGAAATGAAAAGAATGGGGTTATATTTAACAATTTCACAATAAAGTAAATGTGTTCAAATGTGAAGAGTTAATCACAATTCTTCTCAGAGCTGACCATTAACTGATTATAAAACTCAAAGGAGCAACTAAAAGATCAATTTAAATAGTCCTAGATTGTTAATGTAGCTTTCAAACATCCAGCAGCCACTAATTATTGTTTAGAGTACAGTGTAACTCCTGCTGCTGAGCAATATTTCAGATTATTCAAACTGATAACTATTTAGTTTACATTTCATTCATCTTTTGACTCTGGTTAGATTCCCTAATTTGTTAATGTTTGTGAAAATCGTTCGTAATTGTCACAGTCTTATTCCACCTTACGGCACAATAATGAGATGTCAATTTCAATGCAGTGCTCCTGTCCTGAAGAGTTTGGCATTTTTCAAAGGAAAACTACAGAAAAACAGGCATATCAGTACTAATACATCAGTAAGGTTATTTAATTAATAACGTTTTTATTTAGTGAGGAGGAACTGATTGAGATGCAGAATCATTTTCCAGTTTCAAATGAGTGAATCTTCGAGGTTAAAACAGCTAAGAACAAAAAGGGACAAATTACAGAAGCTGAGACAGGAGAAAAGGTTAAACATTGAAAACCATATTGACTAAATTCTAACCCAATAAAGAGTTATGTTAAATGATTACACATCATATGCATCAAAATGCAAATGGTGTATCAGCCATATTTCATTAAAATACTGACATTGTGCAAAACTCAAGAGTTTTTCACACTCTGACTGTCCCAATAAGCAAAAGAAAATTCGTTCTGGGGGGCAACTGAACTGACAGATTATTTTACGTGAGGGGATTTTCAGCCCCTGGACACAGTGGCTCCCTTGGTGAAGAGCCATAGCACACATATCCGAAACCACTACTTGCCCACTAGACACAAAGAAGAAAGTGCATTTTCTCAGAAAACTCTCAGAAGCGTTGTTTGGTTGGCCTCTTACATTCACTTCAGGCCTGTGTGGCGCCCTGTTGACATTAAAGTGCATCGATGTGCTCTTACAAATGAAAGAACTCAGGTCTCGATGAAAAACACCATCTCTGACATTCAGATTTGTATTACACTGCTAGATGTCAAGTAGCTCTTAACATTTACAGTATATTCTGCTTTTACAATAAATTAGAGTGGTAAAAAATAAAGAAAGAAAGCATAAAGCAGTAAGTAAGGACAAAATGAGAGACCGAAATTGCTCCAATGTTACCGAGCAACTTTCATCTTAAAGCTGAAACCAGAAGGACAGACTTGTAGGACATTTACCGATTTATTTCCACAGGCTTTGAGTTGATTTATCATTTACACAGTAGAGCTAATGCTTTCCTCTCCAAGCACTGAATGTACTGCGAGATGAAGGACTTGTCACTGCTCCATCGCTGGCCCTCCATAAAGCTGCAAATTAATCCACACTAACTCACAACAACAGGCCGTTCGGAATAACAAAACATAAAAGTATTTGTTTTTCAGAACTTGGGTATAAGGTCCAAGCAGTCTATAAACTCATGGTCAAACTCACAAAACACACTTACGTTCTTTACAAGACACAGAGCAGTTTCTAGACTGGTTTCAGAGTTGCTTAAATACCAATGCAGACTGGAGTTCTTCAGCTGTATAGAGCACATTTAGATCACGGATGGATGGATAAAAATCTTATGCTGAGTAAAAAAATGTGAGTAAAACACCTAGACGAGGAAACACAGTTGAGTTATGGAAGATTATCTGCGTAGGCTGTCCATCCGGTTACAAGATTTTTCTTCTGGTCTGCCTGAACATCAAGGCTTGTTTCCTTTACTTTGGATTGTTAGATGTTTAAAAAATATACACAAACTGAGATGTAATACCGGACTTTCAAAGGTGAAATGAACAGCTACATGACTGAAGTTGATGTGTAATAAAATATAAAATGTATCGATAAAGGAAAAAAAAATAATTTTGAGTATTAGGCCTTTTTTTTTTAAAGGGGGTATTGTATTTTTTGCAAGCTATAAAATGGCTTTGATTGTGCCATTTTTTATAGCACAATCAGTGTTAGACTGAGAAGTGTTCGTATGATGAGCTCTGTTGTTTGCTAATTGCTGCTGCTAGTCTTGAGGAGCTGTGAAGCGCTCATAAAGCTGAGTGACGGAGCCTCAAGGTGGAGCGGGGTTGCTCTGTGAGCCAGAAGCTCAACTGGAGAGGAACTTTGGGTAAACAGAACTTTGCTTTGTATGAGCCTTTAGGCACCCCCAAATGGTTGCCATGGGTGATTCGAGGATTTCTCAAATGCGCATGAAAGAATTAAAGCAACACTCCAGGTATGTTTCTGATGAGGGAATAACATCATAGCATAAAAAAAGTTGATTTTACATATTACCACCCTTTCAGAATAATTTAATGTTACCCATGCAGAACAAAGTAAAAACTTCTGCCTCTCTGCAGCTTGCCTCCCCGTCCCCTCCTCGCTGGTTTCTTCGTTTTAGGCACCTCTCCACACGGCATCTCTCACCCGCTGCACTTTCCTCTCCGCTTGTTTACAGTAAGCAGGTCCAAGCGGGATAGTTTTACCTTTTATGGCCATTCTTCATCCACGGTAAAAGTGCACTAATACAATGGCATGTTGCCCTCCTCCTTCTCCTCATCCTGACCTCCCCGGTGGAGGTGCTGCAGGGTGAGTGTATGTGTGCGCGCACGGCGTCAATCACGCCGCGCGCGAGACGTGGGGTTTCTGTGGTGCGTTAAAAGCGGCTTTTAAAAATCATCTCGCCCGTCCGCAGAGACAGATAGTAGCTGAGGCAGAGGTTTGTTTTGAATGTCTGGCTGCATAAAAAGCTCCTCTCACAAGTGTTTAGGTTAGACTAGAGGTCTGTACATGTGACACGCACACACACGCACGCACACACACACACCACACACACACACACACACACACACACAAAGCAGGTAGGTGTTACTGAGGAAAGCCTGCTGCGAGCACATCCAAGTATTCAAGGGCTGGATAAGTGTGAGTGTGAGAGAAGAATATGACACGAAGCATTGTGCAGGCGTGTCGGGAACGAGCAGGAAATGTCATTTTTCAAAGCAACGTTAATTAATATGTGACCGCAGCATTAAGATCCTGTCTTACTTAAGCTCTCTAATTCCACTTCTCAAAATGTAGTGTCAATTTAAGCCTTCTCTGCTGATGCCCTGTGCAACATGCCAAGGCCAGGCGCACATGCAGGACACAGTTCATTGCTTTGTTACTGCCACTACGCCCTAAATCTGGAAATAAAAGCTTATACTGATAATTAATGTCTCTGTGTCTTGTTTATGTGTCTCTGTAGGGCGCAGCATTATGGGCAAAGGTTAGTGAAAAATGTGCTGGGATCTGACCTCCACAGGTTATGAATTGTTGGCATGTGTGTTTGTGTGTAAGCTCTGGAATGCCAGGGTCAAGGGCCTGAGAAACAGCCGTGTACAAACAAACACGAGCTCGTCTTTCCCTGCCGCCCTCCTCCGGCCTCTATCACTCACATGGAAAAAAACATCTCTCGCGCACAGAGCAGCAGTGTGGTTGCATGGGCGCAGTATTTATTATCTCAGTGTTAACTAACAGCGATGCCCTATCTGAAGTTCTGTAATCAGATTTACCTTGCAGTGTTTTTCTTTCCTCTCACTGAGCTCTTGTCTTTCCTCTTCTGTCCTATCCTCCATCGACGTTGTTTTTCCTTTCGTGAGTGGCCTGCAGAGAACAAAGGTTTCATCAAATCTTTCTTTCTTTAATTTAGCTGGCTTGCAAAGTATTTCAAATGTTTGAACCTTTCCCACTTTTTTTTTTTGACTTACAACGACAAACTTCAATGAATTTTGGGAGATTTTTACATGACAGACCGAGATCCACATATTAGGATTTTCTCCATTTTTCTTGGCTCTCTCAGATTGTACGCAGAAAAAGTGTGAAAATCTATTTTCACAGTTTTAATTTGGCTTTAGGTCTGGACCTTACAGCATTATAATGCATGAAAATGCTTTTATCTAAACCATTATTGTACTTCTTGCTTCATATTTTGAGTTGCTGTCCTGTGTGAAGTCTCCTGGAACTGGTTCTCTTCATTGTCATGTTTTAGCTTCTCCCATCTAGACATCATGCTTGATCAGTATTCCCGTCAGGGCTGATGAGATAACTGGCACAGAAACATGCTGCCACCACCATGTTTCAATGTGAGAATGGTCTGTTCTGTAGGTCGGGCTTCTTCTGTCACATGTTTGCTCTATCCCCTAAGCAGCAAACATACTACTTTGCCTTTGTTTTTTCCAACAATGACTTTCCTCCTGCCGCTCTTTTGGATAAGCCAAATTTGTGGAGTCCACAACTAATACTTTTTTCTGTTCCAGAGTCATTAAAGGTTGAAAGATGACAAAATGTGGAAATATATAAATATTTCTTCAAGGTTGTGTAACTTTTTCTTTTCTTATTATTTTATAGTCTTTTCTTGTTTCCTGGGGAACAGAAGTGAATTGGAATCTGCCCTCAACGCCATTCCTCTACCTGAGGGGTGCTTCACCCTTACCTATGGGGGTAGTACACCTTGCTGTGGGGTGTGTGTACATATGCAGAACCTCAAAACATAAACTGTTACATCTCCGGTCCCCAATGAGCGAGCGAAGTCTCTGCGGCACCACTGAGAAAAAGCGTGTTTTCCCCTGCAGAGCAGAGGTCGCAACCCGCTTTCAAGTGTGATTCAATCTTACGATTGCTGGTTTTGCCTTTTATGCATTTCCTGTTCTCTCCTGGCACTGTACGCTTTGGGGCTCTGAGGCAGAAAAACACTATGCAATCATGTATGTGTACAGTCATTATCTCATGACATAAGCCCAGAGGAGAAAACTTCCTTGGTAAATGGCAGTGGTTTGTATCCGTTTCTGTTTGTGTGCGTTGGTAGCTTGTTTTAGCTGCAATCTTTGCTTGCAACAAAATGTCTTGTTCCGTTTTGGGAAGGAAAAAAACTAAAAATGTCCCCTCTGCTTTGGTTTGAAGTGACCTTACAGTGCCAGCCACAAACTCCTCTTATGGTAGTGTTATTGGCCATCTGTACAGTGCTCTGTGCGGACGTCCATGTGGGCCATGCCACTTTATTTCCCCCCTCCAGGTTTTTAAAGCCTTACATGGAGCCAAACAGACACCAGAAACCACATGGAAGTTCCCCAGACAGGTTTTTGTTGTGTGTGCGTACATCTGCGTGTCACTCTGTGCCTTAGCATACACAAACCTTGGAGGCCTATGGGTGAAGGCTAACATATCAAAGGTTCAGCCACCAGGGATTAAGTATCACTTCCCTGCTAAAGAAGGCTTGTGGCTCATGCTCATGTTTAGAAGTTGCAACAATAGGTGGCAGAACATTAGACCGTCACTAGAGGGCTGAAATCCAGTCTGCTCTGCCCTGAAGTACATTTGTTTTAATCTCTCCAGTTTAAATTTTATGAGCCTTGCTACTGCCAAGATCTGAGACCTGTCTCATACCATCCTGCTTGCACTTTTTCTTTTCTTTTTTTTTTTCACCTGGCCTTCACTTGTTTTTGATCTGTCTTTCAATACTAAGACACATGTCTGGAAATGAAAGACAGGCAGGCAGGAGGGAATAGAAAAAACAAAAGGAGAGCTACTCAGCTGCCCCCGTTCTCTCTCGGCCCCCTCACCTCCTCTTTCTCAACCTCCCCTCCAGGGAATGTTTTGGGGCCCAGCTCATATTTTGTTTGCACAATGCATTCCTGCAGGCTCTTTATTTATGTCAATCTTCCTTTTGATCAGAGTCCGGTTACCACCAGTTACCCACTCACTGCTCCTGTGAGTGAAGGAACCCACCTGTGATACAGGACTGTGTGTGCCTGTGTGTGTGTGTGTGTAAAAAAAGAAAAAAAAAAGAAAAGAAAAGTCTGGGGCCTTCGTTCCAGGGCAAGTTTACCATCAATTAATATGGCTAAATGATTCCCTCACATGGTAAAGTATTTATGTAAGGTGATCTGGCTGGCGGTGGAGCTAAAGACATCTGGCTGTGATCTACATCCCAGATGGCCCTACCTGCACTGCACATACACACAAAGAGAGGGTCTGCATGTGGGGAGGTGGGCTTTTGTGTGTGAGTTTATTGTGTCAACCGTGTGTCTGTGTGCTGTCCATTTTAGGCATTAGTGTTGCTGTTAAAAAGAAGGAGGCATCAGAGTTCAGGCAGCAGCGAGATCCACGCACACACTGCTGGGAGCAGAGGTCATGCATGCCTGATTTCCTGCCTTTGTGGGAAAAAAAGCACTGGAAAAATGAAAACTTAATAGATCGCGATTCTGAAAACGGAACAGTCTGAGCACAATTTCCAAAAATACTCGTTTACAGAGTTGGACAAATTGCTGCATCATTGTTTATGTAGTTTTCCTAACAGTTCATTGCTGAATAATTGCTTTTAGCCTGCCTTTTTCCTGAATGCTGTACTATCCGTGCCTGCTTTAAAAATATCTTTCTTCCTTTCTGCATGACGGATGTGCGATACTTCAAGATGATACCAAGCAAATGCAGGGACAGTACAGTTAATACAGATTTTTTTTTTAAATTAATATTTAGCTTTAATATACAATCAAACTTCTGACCTCCAGGTGTTTTTATATAGTTAGCTAGAATTTAGACAAAAAATGTTTTTTTAAACATATTTGTTAAAACTGTCACCATATCTTTACAGTTTAAGACACAATCTGTGAAATAAAAAAAATCAAGCTCTTCCACCTTCTCCCAGTGTTGCTATTGTCATTTGAAGAAATGTACTGCCACCAGTCAAAACAACCAATCAGAGCCAGGAGGAAGGTCTCGATGCTGTTAATCATCCTCATGTACACACTGCCTAACGTGCTAATGGCGGAGAAACAACTTACCATTCCAGGAAAACATCAGCCATCAGGGTTAAGAATATAACCATGATAAACAGAACCAATAGAAAAAAATATAAGTTGTGTGCATAATGCATTTTCTCCTAAAATAAAATGAAAAAATATATGATCTGAAAACTAATCTGGTTATAAGATCCTACTTATAACCCATTTCTGTTTCACTTCTAAGCTCTGGACTAAGTTTTGAGTGCATCTGGCCAAATCTGTAATACAGACATTTCATTTGAAACTGGTTATAAAGACAATGACACAACAAGGTGAAACAAAGGATAATCTTACAGGCTCTCAATATGTGGCAGTTTCTGACCAACCAGTGTTCTGGGTTACAACGATGCCTTCTAAGGGCCCAAGTGTGTTCAGTCTAATTCAATTGATACCACAATTATATATTCTCAGGACAATATGTCAATGTAAAAAAATTCAGTGTCCAAGGTCCAAATCAATGTAATTCATTTGCACTCAGAGCCATCGTTAGACCACTGAGATGACAGCAAAGAGAAATGGAAATATTGGCTATTATATGATAGTACACAGCTCTTACAAACATAAAAAGGTTCCTTGACTTCAACTCGAGTTTTCACCATCTGATTTCTATAGGTAGATGTGTTTGGTTTAACATAGAGAAACAGTGCATCAATTTTTTTGGTCATGGCTTTCTGGATAGCTCTATAAATTATGAGGGATGTTGAGGTTTAAATGTCCTTCAGGTACAGTGGACCCCCAGTAATTGCAGGGGTTTGGGAATCACAGCTGGACACGAATAACTAAAATCTGCAATACTTGAAATCCTCTCTAACACTGCGTAGAAAAGCCAATTTTAATAGTTCAAATATCTTAATACGCAGAGTGGAAATTGTCTTAACACCAATGCAAAAGCTAATGTCTATATAGTTTTCCTTATCTCTGCTTTTCAGGGTACAGCCAATCAACAGCAAGGAAAATAAATCCGCTATTGGCTCGACTGCTTTGCAAACGCCAACCAGTAGTATCAGGTAGCATTGCGCCTCTGCATTTCACCTCTCCAAACTGCATTTTGCTTAATATATTTTACATGTGGTCTGCAAAAAATAAAAATCTATGAATAGGTGGATTTTCCAAAACATAATTTGTCAATATAGTTTCATCTTTATCTCAGATTTTCCATTCCACATTAATCGAATGCTGTACTCTGAACTGAAAATGATGAACCACAACATTTTATACTTAATATAATTCATTTTATTGGAATTTTGTCAATTAGATTTACATATTAAACAACGGGGACAAAGTTTTTTTTATTTTTTAATAATACATGGACTTTAGATTATGCAAGTTCTAAAGATAAAATGTCATGCTAAAGTTAATGTGCTTAATAAGTGCTGCAGATGTGGGGGGGGGGGGATTAATCTGTGCCAGCTGCTCAGCACACACCAGTTGATGTCTGTGGTTGAACTGGGCATCTCCCCAGTGTGAAAGTATGCGCTTGTGTAAACGTGAGGCGGGTGTTGCTGAAAAAAAAAAAAAAAAAAAAATGGTTTGCTCGTCAACTTTCCCTAGGAGAATGTAGATGAAAATACATGAGTAAACATGACATTAATTTTGATTTGCTCGCCCTCATGGGTGATGTTGGTCCAAAAGGCCATTCTTGACTTTAAGAGATGAACGAATATTTCCTAGAAATGAACCCTCTCTCTTCTTCTTCTACCCCTCCTCTCCATCTTTTCCTCCTAAAGGAGCCCTCGAGAGATGTGTGTACCCTCTCGCTGCCCGTATCCAAATAATTAATCCAAAGCAATTACTCTCCTCCTTCATCTGTCCGTCAGCCCGCTA